TCTTCATATATTACTGTTTCCCAAATTATTTGCTCAACATACAGATTGAGTAAGTAGGGTGAAAGGATACAACCTGGATTGCACACTTTTCCTAATTTAAAAACACATATCACTCCCTCATCCTATTCAAATGACTACCTTTTGGCCTATCTTCAGGCCAAGAACACAATTAGGCACTACAATGAGCACAATTACGTATTTGGAATTCCCATATTTTCCCCAATGTTATTCATAATTTGTTATAATCCTCCCAGTCAAAAGATTTCCCTTAGCCAATGAAATACATGTAAACATCTTTCTTCTATTTTCTGTTTTCGACCAAAATTAATTTGGCATCAACAATGATATCCATCCTTTGATACTTCTGCAACTGTTTTTGGTTTATCATTTGTAAAATTTTAGTTGCATGTTGAGGTAGTTAGTTTATTGTGTCAACCTGGCCGATAAACACATGTGGGATTAATTGAAGGGTGGAGACATAAATGGCTTGGCAAGCCTCGCCTTTCTTGTCTCTTGCTCTTTGATCATTGGACCAGTGTGCGGCTGCCTTGCTTGTTCTGTGCCTCAATTTGCAAGCTACACTAACTGTGGTACAACTAACCTGTGGAGTGTGTCACTATAATTTGAGGTTCCTTCAAGACCTGCTTCACCACACTATTAGAATTTACATCTCTTGGCTGGGGACTGTCAGACCCTGTCATCTGGCTGACTGTTGGTGACCTGCCTTGCTGTCTGTTGCCTGTGCTCGGATAGTCTGAATTGCTCTACAGAGGACTACCCGGTGACCCTCAAGACTGGAAGTACTGCCAGTGTCTCACAACTGTCTCATGGGAGTGAGTTGCACTGAGCCATTTGTGTTGCTTTATAATTTAATTAACTGTTTATTTCTTATGTTATATATTATCTATCTGTATAAATATATATAAAATTATTAGCAATCTGGTTTTGTCCCTCTAGAGAACCCTGTCTAACACACATGTGCTTATTAGTGGTATTATTTGACAATTTCCACATTCTGTTGGATCACCTTACTTTGGAGTGAATATGAATTTGGAACTCTTCCCATTGATTGGCCAGGTAGCTGTCTTCAAAGTTTCTTGGCATAGATGAGTGAGCACATTCAGCATTACATCTTTTGGTTAAAACATTACAATTGGCATTCTGTCAATTCCCGGAGCTTTGTTTTTCGCTAGTACATTCAATGCAACTTGGACTTCTTCCTTAATGGAATACTATTGGCTCTCAATCATATGCTTACTGAAAAGGCTGAAGTTTAACCAATTCTTTTGTAGGACAAAGAGTTTATCTATTCCTTCCATTTTCTTTTGATACTTTCTGCATCTTTCAATATTTTGCCCATAGAATGCTTCAATATTACAACTTGAGGACATGTTTTGTCTTAAGTTTTTCAGCTTGGGAATTGCAAAGCATGTTTTTTCCTTCTGGTTTTCTAGCACTAAGTTTTTGTTTATTTCATATAGTCCTGTGTTTTCTAAAAAATCCTTTGAAATCTTCTGTTCACCTCTTTTGCTTCATCATTTCTTCCTTTTGCTTTAGCGATTTCACATTCAAGAGGAAGTTTCAGAGTCTCTTTTGATATTAATTTTGCCCTTTTCTTTTTATTACATTTTTAAATGAATTTTTGTTTTCTCCATTTATCCCGTCCTGGCTGTAATTCCTTCAATTCTCCTTCAGTATTCTTTACTCATTATGCAGAGCTCACATGCATGTGAGACGATTGCACACCATAATTTGGCCAGTCATAACTTCAGGGTTCACTATGTCCATCATACTCTTGAGATTGTCTCTAAGTTCAAGTGGAATATAGACCACGTTATATTATGGTGCTTATGCACTTTTTTCTTTTCCCTCTGTAAACTCTATGGATATCTTTTCATTTTCTCTGTAAAGTTTCACCCACATCTTATTAAAATGTTTCAAAACATACTTAGAGAAGATAGAAAAAGAAGCAAATAAGTAAATACAAGTAGAAAAAGAAAATACAGTGAACATCAATGCATCTATATCAATAATTTTCGTAAGTGGACGTGTTCTAATTATACAAATTCAGACAGAAATGGTCAGGGTGTTTTTTTAAGGCCAGATGCACTATATATTGTGAATAAGAAATCCATTTAAAATATGAATCCATGTCATTGTTATTGTTAAGTATTGTTATTGTTAAGGTAGTAGCTATTGGTTTCCAACCCACAGCAACTCTGTACACAACAGAACAAAACACTGTATGGTCCTGCACCATCTCACAATTCTTCCTGTGGCTTGAGTCACTGCTGTAGGCACTGTGTCAATCTATCTCCTTGAGGACCTTCCTCTGTTTCATTGCCTCTCTACTTGATGAACCATGTAGACTTACACAGGGTAAATATAAAGAGATTTTGAAAGATACAGCCGGCTAATATTGATCAGTAGAAAGTTGTGGTTACTCACATCCATTACATTGATTCTAAATCATTGTGACTCTATAAAACAGCTTGTGTTTCCATGCCCATACATCTTTATGGGAGTAGACACCATCACTTGATGTGTTGCTGAGTTGCTCAAGTTGAAGTTAGCAATGCAATGTTTAACCCCCCTGTGCCACCATATCAAGAGTAGTTGTATTCATTTCAGACTACTAGACTTCAGAGAAACCAAAATTCTCAGGGATAAAGAGGGAAACTACAGAGTGAAAAAGTAGTAAATTTCTGAGATTGAACAATCCTGAAATTGAATCCTCTGTTAAAAGACCATCAACATATACAGAACAAAACTAGATAGAATTGAAACCAGATATAAAAATTTAGTTCATCACATGAGTTTCTATTGTTTTGTTTTCTTCTGGTCATTCAGATGCATCTAGTAGATGAACTGCTTTTTAAAATGGCTGCAAGTTGGAAGAGTCAGAGCAGATGCTACATTATGTGACTGTTTTGGAACTCAGGAATAAATTCAGTATGTTTTATAAAGCACGGTACCTTCCATTGACTGTGTCTGGCTCAGGTTTTGAGGAAGAATCTCGAGACAACGAAGGTTGTCTTCTTTCCTACAGGCACATGTGCAGCAGTCAGTTCTCTTCAGAGCGAAGAGAACCAACAGGAGGGGCGCATCTTCTCTTCTTGACCCTTGCCTCGGTCTTGAGATCACAAACGGCCCATCTATTTTCTTGAAACACTGAGCATCAGTCTTGAAACGGGGCTTTGATTAATGTGCTAAAAGGCTTTTACATTACAATGCTGGTTATGAAGACTGAAACTTGTTTAGATTTAAGAAATTGCAGTTGGTACATTTAAGCCTATAGAAGCTCAAGTAGAAAAATCCATGCTAGTTTAAAATTGTAGTTTGTTCTGCATTTTAGGGAAGATGGCCTAAGTGACATGTATCTTTTGCTCTAGATCAGTGGTTCTCAACCTTCCTCAGGCGGCGACCTTTTAATATACTTCCTCATGTTGTGGTGAGCCCCAGCCATAAAATTATTTTCATTGCTACTTCATCACTATAATTTAGCTACTGTTATGAATTGGGTGACCCCTGTGAAAGGGTCATTTGGCCCCCCCAAAGGTGTCACAACCCACAGGGTGAGAACCGCTGCTTTAGAAGATCCTGTATGGAGTCTTCAAGGCCTAGCCTGCCTGCAGTTGAAAGGCATGAAGAAGGAGGATGAGGATGAGGAAGAAGATGATGATGATGAAAAAGAAAGAGGAGGAGAGAGGAGAAGGAGAATAGAGTTGAATCTTACTGCTAATGTCCTGCATAATAAGCACAAAAGGTCGGCTTGTGAGCAGAGGAGCTTTGCATGTTTCATAGGTTTTTTAGGACGTTGTCTGTTGCTGTTTTTACATCAGTAGGGAGTATCTCACTCTCTCAGTCCCTCACTCACTGCCATGGAGTCGATTGGGACTCATAGTGACACTACAGGACAAGGGTAGAACTACCCCCTTTGAGTTTCTGAGGCTACAGATCTCTACAGGCGCAGCACGCCTCATCTTTCTCCTGGTGGTTTTAAACTGAGGACCAGACTGTTAACAACGTAACGTGTAACCCATTACATCACCAGGGGTCCTCAGGGACCTATCTAGATGGCACAGACTTAGAAACAAATCCATTTAACAAAAGCAGGAAACCTTCATTTCTCAAAATTTTGTGTTCATGCAATTCACCTGGGGATCTTATTAAAATATGGATTATAAAAGAATAGTTCTTGGGCTGTCTAAAATTTTGCATTTCTTACAAATATCAGGGTTGTGACAGGCAGTCTTGGGTGAATTTGGCTGAGTCAGTGTTTTCAGTGGTTTGCCAACAATCTCTCATGATGCAATGTAACACAATGTAATGAATGCTATGATGGCAGCTAAAATAATGAAATAAACTCTGTGAGTAGCCAGCAGCTGTGGTAGAATGCAGCCGCCTTAATTAGGTCACAGACATGATGTAATTGGAAGAAAGATTCTTAGGTTGTATGACTTTCTCCTTTTTAAGGAGACTCCATGGGAAATTTTATCTCTGCTAGATTTGGATCATGCTTCTGGTTATTTGACCTCCTGCCATCTTGGCTGCTGACCCCCGGAGGCATCTGTGATCTTTCTGAGACCTGGTTCATCAGTCTCCACAGCCGAGGTAGTCAAGAGAAATCTCCAGTTTTCCATCTGACTGATGTGAACTAGACTGACTTAGCGTTTCCTCCATCAGTGTGAGCCCTTTCCTGACATGTCTCTGTTTGAATACACGGACATATGAGATTCACTGGTTTTGCTTCTCTAAAGAACCAAGTCTACTCCATGGTGAAGCCCGAATCTTCTTCCACAATTTACACCCTGCCGTAATCAAAGGCAGAAGGAAGACTTTGCAGTCTTAGATCAAACTCTACTCTGCAAGGGAGGAGACTCTTCCTTAAGCCGGTACAGTGCATACATAAACCGTCCTCTGCCTGAGTAAAAGGTATTGAGGATCAAATAAGAGTTCTTGAGCAGTTAAGAGCAAGTTTATAGAATGAGCCATCACCATTTTCAAGGTCTCAGTTTCTTTAATGCACATACTAAACTCCAGAAGGTTTAAATCAGTAGACCATGATAACTTAACTATTTAGCCTGATGAAGCGTTTCTTACTAAAGTACTTTAACATTCCTCATATTAAAAAGAGAAATAAGCATACACCAGAAGACATGGGCTCATGATACAGGGTCAACAGTAAGGGTATTCAAAACCTTGGGAAAGAAAATGAAGGATAATAAAACATATGCAGATCCAATGTATGATTTACAAAACAAAATACAGTGTAGCAATAGACATTTTATTATTGATAAACCAGTATTTTATGATAAGCACATAAACAGGTTCATTTCCATTAGGATAGAGCGTATGCATAGGCCATAAGGGTCAGCAAATTGATTAAGTAGAAACATCTGTCTTCAATAGATGCATCTCAACTCAAAGTTCTCAGGAAGTTGGAGGAAAGGCATGTAGTTAAAGCTAGTTTTCCAAGGAAATACAGTCAGGACGGTCTCCAGTGGTGCCAACTACTACTGGCCCTTGGAGTCTTATCTCTTTGTGCATCTGAGACTTGGCTACACTGATGTTTGCTATCAACCTCATCTCCCAAGAATAAAAATCTTCATGGTTCACTAGTCTTATCCTGGTGAACGGATAGAAACCATGAAGAACGTTTTCTAGTTTAGGCTTTCCCTAGCATCGATACTGCAACCTTTAGTTCATGTCATTTTTGTCCTTTATTGCTCAGAAGAAAGTTGGAAGAAACGCTAACTGTCTTTGAAAATTTAAAACCAGTCCAAGAAAGAGAACAAGTTCTGGGACTATCCACATTTGTCTGAGAAAACATGACTCAAGAAAGAAAGATCGCAATCACGGCGGGAGCCGAAACAGAGAGAATGTATTGGGTGTTTATCCTTTCCTTTTAGGTCAAAGCACTGGTGGAAATGGTAACATAAAATGCTAACATCCATCACAGCAGAAGAAAGAGCAACGGAAGGAGCAATAGCTGAGAAGTGGCGCTTGTGTTGCCTTTTGGTGTCCTCATGAGGTTACTATGCTTTTAGGATCCACAGTTGATTTTAGGAGATCAACAGCAGCTTCCATAAGCTGATGCATGGCGGGGCCTGTGATGATAGCAAAACAATGAATCAAAACTCCCGGCCCAGCAAAGAGAGAAACGGGGAAACTTCTAATGCCCCTTAAACTTCCCTAATCATCGCTTTCTGTGTTCTCTCAAATCTCCTAGCGCCTTCCTTTCTAGATTCTCCTTTGTTCCCAGAAAGACTCAGCACCATGGCATAATAAATCTTAGGGGCCATTGCGACACTTCCATTTCTGTCAAAGAAAGAACGGGCCTGGAGAACAAAATAAACTCTGAACCAACCATGTACTAGGGATGTGATCATGGGATTCTATCTGTCCCTCAATTTCCATCAGGCCCAAAGGCTGGAAGACTGGGAAGATGGCTGGATTCCCAAGAAAAGTAAGTGCCAGGGTTGTGCTCTTACCTATATTGATATGAATCCAGGCCACTGCCTTCTTTGCCAGCAGGTCCCACTCACTCTGCAGCTCCTTACCATTGCAGTGCAGCCAGATCAGAGCCAGGACAGTTGCCCAGCTTGTAGAATCCATATTCTGTATAATAGATAGAAATGCCTTTGACGTTTCCAAGTTGGGGCAGGAAGTTCCTCAGGAGAAGTAAATAGCTCCATTCTTTTCTCTCCTCATGCATCATCCTCCCAAACTCCCGTTGACTGCGATTACTTGGTCTCTCTGTGCCACTTTATGCTACTTGCAAGTCAGTCAGAGTATTCAGGAAAAAGGGACTGAAGTTTTGAATCCATTGCAACCATCCACACAGTCCTTGGCTGAAACTCCTCCAAACACCCCCCAGGTGGTTAGCCAGATGTCATAATACAAACTTATGCAGGGTGTAGTATTAGGTTGCCATCCGTAAGGTCAAGAGTTCAAAACCACCAGCTGCTCCAGGGGAGAAAGATGGTGCTCTCTTTTCTTTGCATCCATTCCCCGCACCCCACCCCCCTTGATTCAAGGGTTTATTAAAGAGGTTAACAGATTGTGATACAAGTGAGAAATGCTCACGAAACAGTTGTTCATCAGGGCATGTTACAAAGTTCTTTCAGGACTGCTAATAAAGGCCCAAAAGGCATGCCAGTCTGCTCTAAACCTCACCCCAAGGGTATTCAGCTCACTTCGTGGGTCAGCAAGCCCAGCACCCTCAAGGAAGTGCCCAGTGGCCTGCTACTGCACAAGTCAGCCACCCGACCCGCCCTAACACTCAGCTTTTCTTGCTCTGTCGTCTGCAGCCATGAGGGCTCCACTCTATTTAGAGTGCAGTGCAACACTCTCTTTCACGATCCGTCTCCTGGTTCTGCTGTTGCTGGCCCTCTGCTGTCACAACTGTCTTCTGGATCCAGGAGGTCTCAGCGTCCAGAGGATACACCCCACTCATAGCTCCCCCTGATGGTGAGATCCCATGACAGTGTTTTCTACTCCCATAAAGAGTTACAGTCTCGGAAACTCACAGGGGCAGTTCTGTCCTCTCCTGTAGGGTCACTATGACTTGCCATCAACTCCATGGCAAAAAATTTCATTTGGTCTTTTGCAGGCAGTTTATTTATGAAATTTAATAAAAATATGTACCTCCAGCTTAGAACAATGTTTAGTGGTTATAAAAATCTATTTCAAATATGAAAACGATTTCTAACTTGGATTTTCAACTTGTTTGTATTATCCATTATATAATTTTTTTTTAAAAGGCTTAATTGAAATCCAGATATTTTAGGTCTCTTAATTGGCCAATATATTGGAAAGGCACTATTGAAACTTTAACTTTTGTAATAGCAATTTTATTTTTCATTTTTAAAATAAGTAAAAACAGAGATGAAGTTATTTTCATGAACTATCACGAAATATATTATTTTCTTGTTTCAATTTTTATTTTTCCAAAAATTAAAATAAAGAGGTGAAATGACTTAATAACATTAACATAATTTCTGATCTTTAAATTTACTTTTATAAAAGTAAATAAGATGGGTATTAGAAACATTTTAATTACATATGTGCCTTGAATTGTAATTCTATGATGGGATGGTAAAAAAATAAAAATAATTTGTGATTATTTGGAAAAGGATAATAAAGATCATTAAGTGCTTGGATTCACTAAGGAAAAGACCTACAACAGTCCAGCATTTCATTCTTTGGCATGGTAAGTTATCTAATAAAGCCAGACATGTCAGATACATGTTGCTGTTGTTGATCTGCCGTAGAGCTAAATCAGACTTATAGCAACCCTATAGAATAGGGTAGAATTGTCCCTTGGGGTTTCTGAGGAAGGAACTCTTTGCAGTAGTGGAGCATCTCATCTTTCTCCTGGGGGGTGGCTGGTGGATTTGAACCTTGCAGTCAGCAATCCACTATGCCACATGTTAACCAATAAATCCAGGCACTTGAGAGACATGTTGCTATTGTTAGGTGCTATCAAGTCAGTTCTGACCCATAACAACTCTATGGACAAGAGTCAACCATTGCCCAATCCTGCACCAGGACCACAATTTTTATGCTTAAACTCACTGTTGCAGACACTGTGTCAGTCCAAGTGTAGTCCTCTTTCATATTGCTCCTCTGCTTACCCAAGCTGGAGATCCTCTCTAGGGACAGGTTTTTCTTGACAACGTGCCCAAAGTATGTGCGGTAAAGACTGACTTATAGTTACTTCTAAGGGAATTCTGGTCGTACATCTTCTGAGACAAATTTGGTTGTTCTCCGACAGTCGACGGGATTTCCAGTCTTCCTCACCAGCACCATAATTCAAATGCACCATTGTTCTGCAGTCTTCCGTATGTGCTGTCCAATTTCCACATGCATATGAGGTGACTGAAAAACCCACGGCTTGGATCAGGGACTCTTCTCGTCTTCAAAGTGAAAGTCCGGACTTTCAATGCTTTAAAGAAATCTTGAGCAGCAGATTTCCTGCAGGAAATATACAGCTTGATTTCTCGACTGCTGCTCCTAGGACCACTGACTGTGGAACCAAGGAAACTGAAATCCTTGACACCTTAAACATTTTCTCTGTTTATCCTGATGTTGTCTATTGGCCCCGTGGTGATTTTTATTTTCTTTAATCGAGTTGCAATTCATAGTGATGGTGGTAGCCTTTGATCTCCATCTGGAAGTGCTTTAAGTCCTCCTTACTTTCAGCAAGAACAATTGTGCCACCTACATGTATATCCAAAGTTGGTAAGAAGCCGTCTTCCAACCCAGATGGTATGCTTTCCTACATATACCTCAGCTTTTCAAATTATTTTCTTATTATGGAAAAAGGACACAACCCTGACACACGATTCCCTGATATTAAACTGCAGAGTATTCTCTTGTTCCATCGGAATGACTGTGTCTTGGATCGGGCATGGGATCTGCAAGAGCATAATGAAGTTTTCTGGATTCCTCATTCTTCCCCGTACCAGCCATAGGTGCAGGTGGTTGTCTTATGATGCACATAGTCAAATGCATGTGCATAATCATTAAGACATCTGGTATTCTCTGCTTCCAACCCAGATCCATATGGCACTGGATTGATAGCCCTTCCCCCTTCCCATTCTTAAATCAGTTTGAATGTTTGGGGCTCCTGTCAACATACTGCTACAGCCACTATTGAATTATTCACAGAAAATTTTTTTGTAATGTTCCATAATTTCCACATTCTGTTGGGTTACCTTTCTTGGAATAGAGCACAAATATGAAGCTCTGCCTGTAGTTTGATGTAGTATACTTGTCAAAAAGGCATTTGCGCTTTTTAAATAATACTGCAGACTGTACAAAGTAGTATAAAGTAACCAACATTCTCTTACTTCAGGTATGTCCTGATAAATTCACAATTTTTATTACTGTCCACTATTTTAAGCACACATATACACAACGTACAACGTTCATTTTTGTTCTTGCTATCTCACCTTGAAAGGAAAGGCGGCCAGCAGGTCTTCCACACTAAAACCTAGGACCAACGCTAAACCCTCATTCAGATCCCAAGAACCATCTGCCTTTTGGAGGGAAATCAGCTGCACGAGGTGATTTTCTTCAAAGACTTCGGGTGGGGGAGAAAAGATGACAGGAAATTATTAAAATATTTCCCAGCTAATAAGCCGAGAGACTTTTGAATTCAGAGAGATAAGCTGTAGGAAGTGTGTAATGTTCAGCAGATTCTGGCAAGATTCCCACTTCAAGCCTTCTTAAACCCACGTTAAGCATACCTACTTCCCTGTGACAACGCAGGCCATTCAGGTTATGTACTAATTCCAGAGGGACTGTCTTTAAACAACGGAAAATATGGGATATGAAATAACCCAGGGCTATGCTCTTTAAACGTCTTATCTAGCCTTGCTTAAAAGGTTTTTAAAAATCCATATGCACACAGTTTGAATTTAAATTATTAAAATTATCAACAGAAAGCAGATATAAAGAAGTAGTCTAATCCTGGGGACCTGAAAACTGCTTAAAGACCACACAATCCTCTTAAGCCATAGCTTGCATTTAGCTATCTCTAATGCAAGATGGGGAACTCAGAGAAATAGAGAAAGTAGTAGGCAAAACATTACAAAACTGAAAAAAAAAAAGCTCTATTGTAACATAAAAGAGGGTGCTGAATTTCAAATGATAGTTCAAATCTCAGCACTGCTAACAAAGTATAAAAGTAATTTAACAGATGTGAACCTCCTCATTGTAAAATGAACACAATTTTCACTGCCATCGAGTCAATTCTGATTCATGGTGACCCTCTCAGACAGGGTAGAACATCCCCTGTGGATTTCTGAGGTGGTGAACTCTTTAAGGGAGTAGAAAGCCTCATCTCTCTTGCAAGTGGTGGTAGTGGCTGTGGTCTTGAAGTGCTGACTTAGCAGTTAGCATTCAACGTATAACCCACTATGGGACCAGGGCTCCCATTTGAAAAATAGAAGACAGTGTTTCCCAGTCCATGAAAAAAAACCATAAGTGATCTAGAGCAAAGGCTGGCCTCTAATCAACTATTAATCCTATTTGTTTTTTTTTAATCCTATTTGTTGTGATGAACTTATAATGTCTTACCAATATTTTGGCAAGAGATGACAGGACAAGGTAAGAGAAATCTGGGAGGTGGTATCTTTCTTTTGAGGGATGCTAAGGTCTGGGTATGATCAACACAAACTGACACCCTACTCAGTGTAATGTAAGAACGTTCTCACCAACCCTGTGAGGTGGGATGGTGTACACCCGAGAGAACCAAGGCTCCAAAAAGAGAGTTACATTTTCTGAATTTTCATAATAAATGGTAACAGAAAGCTCTTCAGTTGCAGGCAAAGAATGCTGAGCAAAGAATAAGTGGCAAAGAAAAATAATAAGACTTTAGTTTGTAGACAAACAGGATCAGGTAGGACAGCAAAGGCAGTCTGTTTAACTAGGACTCCGCCCTGCTCCAATGGAATAGCAGCAGGCGTCAGGGACCTAACTCAGGCGGGCTATGACAACTCTACAATGGATGACACTCGACTTCTGAATTCTATTTTTCAAATGGATTACCAACTGGGTAGAGAAAGCCCCAAGAGTGCAGAGCATGGAAAATTAGTTCTTCAGTTGCCAAGGGTCATGGAAGAAGCTGAGGCCCACCTTCACCCTCCTGCTGAGTGTCCAAGTTGGTCCTATGGGTAGAAGGACGAGTCCTTCCCATGGCAGGAGAGGTCTCTTTGAGAGGCATGCATTTCTTCTTTTGTTTACCACCAAGACCTGGGGCTCTGCCTACTCCTATATGTGTGACAGACAAACCCTGGTGAGAAAAAGTTTCTGGAAAGATGCTTACTTAGAGCGTACATTTGCCTGAAACTAATTGGTCTAGGGTGATCAGCAGCGCTCCCGCTTCCACAGAATCTTGGCTGACGTGTCTTGTTCCAGACAGAGTTCCTCGAAGATGAGCCCTTCGGAGAAGCTGAAAGACACGAGTACAGACCCTTACAGAGAAACACCTGTTCCTCTTACGAGGAGGGAAGGCCCCTGATTTTACAGGCATATTTCTTTCTATCCATATCAGCTCCAGGCACCATCTTCTTTGGGCCATCCCTTCCTCTCCTCTGAGGTAACATCCCATAGACACCCGCATCCTTTCAACCATATCCCCTTAAAATTTTATACACACCAAGCAATCAATTCTATATCCTGTCTCATGACACACAACTTCCCAGAATTATCTTTCTTAACTTAAACTTCATTTGCTCTCCGAGTGGAACGACTCTCACTATATGCCTTACAAATCATTGTTGCTGGATTCACCACACTCCAAAACCCTAAACTGGGAGTCAGGGTTAGCAATCTCTTTAGTTTTTAATACAAAATCCAGATTATTACTCCTCTACATACTTTGTGTAAGCTTTCACGTATCATCACTTCGTCACTACTGTCAACTTCTCTATCACAACCCATTATTTACTAGAGTGACTGGAAGTAATATCACAGATTTCCTCCACAGTGAGAGACCAGTGATCGTCCTGAGAGGTTTTAGAATCCAGGTAAATGTGCAGCAAGAAGATAAATCAGCTTCTGATTTAGACTATTTGCTCAATGTTTATGTACTCTTTGATGTATTAATGTTTCCTTGTTTTTGTTTTATTTGGTTATTTTTGTGGAATATATTATAGTTCCCTAAGACAGAATACTTTCACACCAGCCAAAAAACCTGTATGTGAGGAGACAGGGGAAAGGGGCAATTTTGGATCTTTTATGATCTTTTCCTTTAAATAATGTGCTTAGTTATCCTGGCCATCAAACTTACCGCTTCCAAAACCTCTTGGCATCGAAGCAAGTGTACCCATCAGCAGTGGTCTTGGAATATCCCTACGGACCAGCGGCCTCTGAACTGGCTGATTGAGGTCTTTGTTGATGGCAATGAAAGCTGTGTGGGAGCTTATGACTCCACACTCAAGGCTTATCTTCAACACTTCTTTCTTGTCATTTGCTGGAGTCTCTCTGAAGCCCATGTCCTTTATCTGAAGCAAGGACTTGGCAGCAAGGCGGTGAATGATGAAGCTGGAACAAAAACGTCCTGTGATTTATGGAACATTTTGGTGCCAGTTACTCAGGGTCCTCAGAAGTTATGGATGGAATAGGGGGAGAAAAGCCAGATAAGGGGAGAGAGAAGATTTAGGTAGGTTACAGGAAAGATATCATTTTAGAAAAACAATGGATTCTTTAGTGATAGCAGGAATGTAAATCATAATCTGAAGCTGAAAGAGGGCTTAGCATCAGAGCCTAAATTAAGAGACTCTGGTTTGCAGAAGGCTGACAGTGGAAGCCCAAGAATATTTGTGAGATCTACACAGGAAAAAGCCTCTGGTGATTTCCCTCGATCCATAATAAAAGGATGGGAAGAAACCTGTTACCAAGCAAGTGTGTACTGGAGAGATGACTACAGAAGATCAAAATGATAAATCTGACTGAAGCAGTTAAAATCTTGCCAGTTGACACCCCTCTGATGCATGTTGGGTCTGATCTGGGTTTCAACCTTTTCTCTGTGTGTGTTTGTGTGTTTCATATTGGGGGCATCTCAGGTATATTTTGTCACTGGGGACTAGCCCTCTTGAATTCTTGTCCTGTGTCTTTCAGGATGATGAACCTATAGAGACAGAGAGTAGAATAAGGGTTTCTGGGGGTACAGTGGTGGGGTGCGGGTGGAGGGGGCACGGAGGAGGTACAAAGGGGAGCTGATGTCAAGAAGTTCAGGAAGAAAAAGGATTTTTCAAACTGATTGTAGTAGCAATTGTATAATACTGCTTGATGTGATTGAACTATGGAATGATATGATATCTGTATTAGCTCCCAATACAATGGTTTTGGAGACAAAAAAGAAACAAAGGAAGGACATAGCAAAAGAAAACAGGGTTCTCACTTGGCATCCGATTTGGGCTGTAGATGAAATGCTACCTTAGTCTCAAAACTCTGGCCTTGAAGTGTGTATTTGAGGCATACTTCTCCTCTTTCCTCTTTCGACTATAAATCAGAAAGAAATAGGGTTGATGGAAAGGACAGTCATAACTAGTTGTAGCAGATCCCCAACCCCATCCATTAAATAAAATGAACTAAGACCCTGGTGGTCCAGGAATTCAGGGACCTGAGGTGATAGGGCAGAAGCCAGGTTGGCTCCTTCCGGGATATGTGGTCTCTTGATAAGTTCCATAGCCAGAATATCTCTCACTTTATTGTGCTTTGCTTTATTGTATTTCACATTATTTTTCTATACTTTTTTTTTTTTAACAAATTAAAGGTTTGAGGTAACCTTGTATAGAGAAGGGCTAACCTATATTTTTGTAAAGTATGTGCTTACTTTGTGTCTCTGTGTCACATTTTAGTAATTATTGCAGTATTTAAAACATTTCATAATGCTATTGCACACTTACTTGACTATAAAAGTTATGCATAAGCATAAATGGACTACAAAATTGACTATAAAAGTTATGTGTAAGGGGAGAGAGAAGATTCAGGTGCATTACAGGAGAGATACCATTTTAAGGAAAACAATTGATTCTTTAGTGATGGCAGGAACGTAAATCATTTAACATAAGTTATGCATAAGCATACCTTTGATATGCACTAGACAATGTGACTCACTTTGTTGAGATATGTGCTTGACTCTGGTGGTTTGGAACACAGCCTGCCATACCTAGGAGGTATAACTGTCCTGACTTTTACTAGTGTCCTTGGCCAGGCTTCAGGGAAGGGGATACTCAGACTGGAGAAACAAGCAAGAATGAGAACTCACCGGCATTGGCCCACTCAATTGGGCATAGATGATTAACCTCTGACCCCTAAAGATGACTGACTGTTCCGGGGAAAGCACGTTAGCACACAGACCCTGAGGCAAAGCCCAGCTCAGGGAGAGCTCCTCCACCACAGGCTGCAGAGACCGTTTCAGGGCCAAAAGCGCCTGGCAGAGAAAGGAGAGAAGAACCACAACCATAGTGACCGCAATTGAAAACATTATTTCTTGAATATTAGATAATGGGGGTTATGTCAGAAAATGCATGTTATGCTCAATAATGGGAGATGTGTAATATTGCACTTCATCTACACCGTGAAGAAGCTATTTAATAACATAGCTATGAATGAAGTAAATTTTTAGGAACAGAGACCCCTGGAGAGGTAGGAATGGGCACTCTGGGGGAAGGAGGAATTTAGAAACATAGCAGAGTGGAGGATGGTTTCCCCTTATGCATACAGATCAAATGGAGCTTGAGTTATCATTCCCCCAATCTACAGTGCTTATTATAATAATTCCTCCCTATTTTCCTGTGTCTGTTACATGAAAAAGGGCTCTGGGAGAAAAAGAGGTGATAAAACACAGATCCAGAGTCTCAATCATGATAACCCAAACTTCTAGTTTCTCTGTCTGTTCTCAAACACAAAATGTTTGTGTTTCAGCATCTCATCGCTTTCTACCTCTCTCAGCATCTCATCTCTAGGATCCCAGCTACCACGGCCATATGCCATTTATCCTGAAACTAAGAGAGACACTTTATACATAAGGCCGAAAAGAGCCCACAAAACAGAGCCCAAAGCCACAGAGGTATAAAACTATGAATTCTGTATGTGCCACTGCCCTCGCAGTGGTGTCCACCACACTGGAAACATGACTGGTCTCTCACCTTGGTCTGCATCCTGTTCTTTTCACTGATAAACTCTGAAGTGCCCCCTGTTGCCCGAGCAATGCCCTTTACCAGGCTGGTGGAAACACCATCTCCAATACCAAAGGAGAAACATCTGTGAAAGGTTAAAGGTTAGTGCTAGGCACTAGAGAGGGACATGATAAAATGAACATATTATGGTTAAAAAACAAACAAACACAATGGTCCAGAATACATAAAGAGGGCATTTACTTCCTTGAACAGAAGCACAATAGCCAGAATTATCTGAGTACATTCTATATTCTAAAAAATATGCTAACTTCTTAAATGTGCTCAGTTAATCATTATAAGGTTCCTAATAGGTTTATGTTTCATTTTGTGGATAAGGAAAGGTCAAGAGAATTTAAGGAACTTGTCTAAGTTAACATATATGTCAATATTTCATAAAAGAAATCTAAAAATCCTCAACATGGCTTCTGAATCGAATAAACCAATTGAATCTAAAAAAAAAAATTTTAAGACATCACAACTAATTTAAGTTACTTTCAGAATATGATGTTGCTCTAATATTTAGCAGTAATCATTAAAATTCACATATTAAGAGAATAAAGGAGAAAATCACGCAGTCATTTTATTAGGTACATAAAGTGTATTTGATGGAATTCAACAACTATTCATTATTTTTTAAATAAACAGACAGGAAACATTAACACTAAAATGAAAGTGAATCTCCTTAGTATGATAAACCTACAAAATACCCCTAGCAAAAATAATTCAACACAGAAGTATTTCTTTTGAAGTACAAAAAAAGATAAGGATGCCAGCTATAACCATTTTTACATATTAAGGTTTATACCAGGTTCTAACAATTTTCACATATTAAGGTTTATACTTTAGAACAATAAAGATAGAAGAAAAATTAAAAATATACGAATTGAAGAGGAAAAGAGAAATAAATGAAACATTATTTGTAAACATGATTCTTCATAAAAATTTAAAATAACCTGAAAATACTTTATTAGAATTGATATATAAATTCTAAATTAAATAAGGTCATTGAAAGATGAATGAAATCTATTTCTATGAAGAAAGAAATATCCAGGAAAAATATTATTTAAAATAGTATTATTATTTAGGGAAAATTGAGTCAGAAATTCATACAATTATCTACACAAGCAGTAGAAATTTCCATTGTTTTGCTTTGTTACATTTAAATGTTTGTTAGTTCTGGCTGCTGAAAATGCCTTGAATTAATAACAATCAAATAGCAATGAGAACACTTAGCATCCAAATATTGATTTCTATTTATCAATTTCACTGCAAAGATTATGGTTTGTTACATAAATGTATTATTCATAGGGAGACTGGTACCCTCATTTAATGCTGATGTGAATTAATTACTACAATAACCAATAAACTAATTTACTATTTATCAGAAATTCCACAACTGTCTACAATTTGAACCCAAACAGATGAGTGTTAGTATCCAAAAATATACACTTAATAATATTTACACAGCTTTATTTTTATATTTATAATTGTATTTATTCTAAGTTAATTATTATAATTTCCTGGATTACACATCTATAAAATTGTAAAGTTAAGCACTATCGATTCTCTAAGGAAGACATAATAAACATCATTAGATAATGAAAAATAAATATGTATGCAATGTGCGTTTCTTGCGTGAAACCTGGACTAGGTAAAGGACGTTGAGATTTCAGTTAAATTCGGTACATCACTTATTGCAAATTAGTCACTGTTGCTTTTTGTTTCTATAATTATGTGTATCTATCTACTTCTACATTTATCCACAATTCTAATGCTCATACCAGGGGAAGGTAAGTGAAGGTATATGAACACTCTCTGCACTGGTATTCTATTTTCTTTAAACTTTTTATTGTAAATCAAGCAGGGAATTTATATTTCAGATCAAACTAAATAAACATCTAACCTCCCAATAACGATCACTTTTTCTCTTCTTTATAGCCTGTTATCATCCCCTTTACCCAATTTACCACCTGTCTCTCCTCTAACCTACTTGCTTCCCCTTCCTTCCCTTCTCCCCCACCCCTGGCATCCATCAAAGTGTCTATTTTCTTTGGTATAAAAAAAAGTTTAATTTTAATTTTTTTCTTTTAAAACAGTGGTCTCATACATTATTTGTCCTCTTGTGATTGACTTAGTTCATTCAGCAAATTGTCCTAGATAACCATTCATGTGTATGTACCAAATTTTATGTATTCATTCCACCAACAGGCATGTAGGATATGTCCATCTTCTATCTACTGTGAATGCTACTATGATGAACATGCATGTACACATGTCTGCTCATGCTTTGTTCTTAGTTTCTTTAGGCTTGTGGGTCTTGGTCTTTCTATCCCCACCTGTTTGAGGAAGTGCTTCCTAGTGGGGTCCAGTTTTACTGTTGCACCAGTGACAACACTAATGCAACACGTGTGGCATGACATCACTCTTGAGTTTAGTCATCAAGAAATTGTTTTTTCATACCTGTGCTGCTTCCTGCTGCTCTTCACTTCTCTAATTACACTAAATGTATCAGTGACTTCTCCATCTGTGAAGACAAAAAGCTGGAGAAAGAAGAGATTCATCAACGTCTGCCATGTTCATTATTAAAACGCAAGAACCTGACCTTGAATAACCCACCTATTTCTTTTCCGAGGTTCTGGTGACTCTTCCGACAGATACCAGACTCCTCATGCTCCATGAGCACATGTGCTATGTTCTCTCTCACATGGCCTGTTCTGAAACCTGGCAATATTCAGTACCTTCCCCTATTAGTTTAACCCAAGTCTTCTGCGAGTCTTTACAGGGATCCTTCCTTTATCACTGACTGAAGCTGAAGAGGAAGTACATTAAATGCCTTTCATCTTTTTGTCTTTATTGGGATGAAAAACTCTTAAAATTAATTACCATATTTCAATAATCTTAAAATATAGCTCAGGGCCAGAGATGACTGTACAGAGATTCCAATCTTTCTATTCTGTTCTGATACCTCTGTTTGGGTTCTTACCTGCATGGGGTGGCCAGGAATGGTGGGTGATCCATATATGGCATTGAGTGGTGTCAGGATCTCTGTGCCCCCAAGGTCTGCCTTCATATGTGTGATTTTTCTCAGTGCCTCTTCCATTGTATGCTGAGTGTACCTTACACTATCTCTGAGAAAAACAAATACTCACAGTTACATGACAGCGACTTGCCTTTGCCCAGTGTTAAGTTCCTGGGTTGAGACACACCCGAAGTAGAATAACCATATCTGAGACCCCCAAATCCCTAGTCAAGTCTACAATCATCCCTCTTAACAATCTAACCCCCTTTTCCATGCCTTTGGACGTTTCTCTGCTCTTTTTGGAAACCTACTGAAAGAATGACTCATAGGTAGATCCAAATCCAAACACGTTGAAATAGCAGCCCACAGGTAAACTCTTCAGCAGTAAAACCAGGGTCTCCTAAAGGTAAGAAAGCACAAGGAAACACAGTGATAAATAACCCTTCCAGACCCACAGGCATGCCAAATCTAACTCGGAGTAATGTAGGTCTGCACCCCTCCACAGTCATTATATTCCAAGGTTAGCCTCACAGACACCGTGTGAGCTGTAGATCAACTGCGGAACAGGTCTACAGCTCTAGATGAACCCTAGCTTAACCCCCACGATTCCTCCTCACTGAACATGTGACCCTGAAGAAAGAAAGACGTTTTACCTTGGCAATATCTATGCGCATCTTGGATCTTTCGCGCTTACTCAAGGGGTGCTGCATACTTCCTGAGCGGTCCATGAGAAAGATAAATTCTCCACAGGTAATTGGTGGCTGAGCTTCTGGGATACTGGGATAGAAACTTACCATCGCAGTGTTCTCTTCCATTAAAGAATCTGTTCAGTAAAGGATAGTATATGGTAAAAAGATTCAAGAATTTTAATGGCCCCCCCAATTCAATTTTAGTGAAAAATTTACAGGAGCTGATAACTTTAAAAACTTAAATCTAAAACCCTATATTAGTTCTTCATAGTAAATCTGCTTGTAATGGGTTTGAGGGCTAGTTATATACACATAGATGCAACAACAGGGCAGATAGTCATGTCTGTTTCCTGGCAGTTAGCCAAATGCATGAAACACATTAGGCTACAATGTTCCAGCATTTGCCACAGAATGAGGCAAATTTATTGGCAGAAAAAAGTTTTCTCTTCAAATCAATTCATTGCAAAATTTTCCTTATGTCCTTGTTTAATATCTTTAGTTATAGTTCTGAGAAAGGTCACGTTCATGTGGGCTACCTTATGTCCATAAGAGGTGAGCATGCAGCAGGCAAGTAAGCCCATCATTTGGTGATACTCTCACAATCAGAAGGAAATGCAATGATTGTAGGACTCCGAGCAAAAGAACTCAGCCTATTTAGTAATGCTATTCAAAGCCAGACATGAGAAATTGTGAGTGAGATAGTTATGGTTTATTGTGCCAATCTGGCTCATAAACACATGTGGAGTTAATTGAAAGGCGGAGAGCTAAATGGTTCTGTGAACCTCGCCTTTCTTCTTCTCTTGTTCTCTGATGATCAGACCAGTGTGTGGCTTCCTTAGCTAGTTCGTTGCTTCAGCTGGCAAAGCTCACTTCCTGTGAGACATCCCTGAGTAGTAGCCACATGGACCTACCCCGATGCAGCCCTGGGTGTTAGAGCAGCCGTGTGGAGACCCCTGCCAGTGCTGAGATGCTTCCACACTCATTGACTCAGCTTTCCTCCTGCATTTGGCGTTACTGCATATGTTTTGTGAGTTTGAGGAAGACTTTGTACATTGGTGTCAGACCTATGGGCTAATGTCAGACTTAAGGGATTAGACTGGACTGGGTTGGGATGCTTTCTTAATGTACATAAAACTCTCTCTTATATACATATGATTTTCTGTGGATTTGTTTCTCTAGTCTACCCAGACTAACACAGTGAGCAAGTGAAAGCTGTCACAGAAATGGAAATGTTATTATTGAAATAAAGGAACAGTAAGATGACTAGATTATATCAACTCTAGTTTTCCATTTCAGAGAAAACACAAGGCTATAGAACTAAATACCTATATCCTATTTCCATGAAGTGATTCCAGAATTACGGTTGAATAGCTTTGTCAGTCAGTCCACCACCGCACTGGCCAGGCTCTCATCTCTTCTTAAGGGAATACTCCAACAGCCACAATGAGTTCAAATAAATGGGCGACATCCAGCAAATATTTGATAGAAACTGGTTCAAAAATAACTTTTACACAACCTTTATGTTTAGATATGAAATGGCGAGGTAGTCTTCCTTGAATGGATAAGGTATCTATGTTGAGAGGCAGCTGGTTTAGTGGAACCAGCACTGCACTGAGAAGTCAGATGGGTTGCTGTGAGAATCCCTTTAGTATATGTAAACTGTTCCTGAACAATGGCAGATACATAACACGCACTCTGTGGATATTACCCAGTGTGGTTCACTAGGCTTAGATGAAATTATTGTCATCTCTGTGAGACCCACCTCTCTTGTTTGTAAGGAGGAAGTAAAAACCAACACCCTCCCCCTGTTAGTTGCAGTTGCTCAACAGAGGACCGAAGTAGTAATACTGACTTTAGAATTACTATTAGTGTTAAGTGCTATAAGACACTCTCTGGAGTTTGACTAGATAAAGTTATCCTTAATATTATCAAATTAGGAGGATGCCTCGAGAAGTTCATGATGTGTCAAGTGTCCCTAGCAAAGTGAATCTAACTACTGCATAATGAGCTTAGGATCATGAATGGAAGGACACATCTTCATTCTTCATACTTTAATTTCTTTATGTAAAAGCCTTGAAATTGATATTATTAATTTGAATATTTGTTCTTGAAGCATACATGATAAAATTTCTTTTCAGAATGATTATGATACTAAATGGTCTGATTATGATACTAAACTATCTATGAGTGTTGACTTCACGATACTTTTTAAAACTCGGGGCATTATTAGATGATAACATCAGTGATACGGTGAAAAGTAAAATGCTTTCATTTGCATTTCTGCAGAAAGTGATCATTTTTACAAGATTTGTACCTGGCTATGCTGCCTCTTATGAAATATTTGCTATTATCTTCAAACAAATGTAGATTTTTTCAGTCAATCGTTACATGTCAAATATCTCCTCTTTCGCTAAAATCTACCTACAAGGCATGTTGCTGAGTTTAGATGCCATTGTTTGGGCACCACCCCTAACCACCATATATACAACAGAATGGAGCACCGCCAGCCCTGCACCGTGCTCACAATCATTATTAAGATATAATGCCACGTGATAGTCATGAAACCTAACCCTTTTTTAGCATGCCCACGTGTATGCTAATCCGGGGAGCTTTCTACTCTCAAAAAGAATTGCAATCTCTGAAACCCACAGGGGCTCCAACTTTGTCCTTTGGGGTCACGATCAGCCAGCACCAACTTGATGGCAGTGAGTTTGGCTCTTTGGTTACTGAATAAAATGAAAGTGGAGGCGATTTGAGGGTAATCTCCAGAAAGAAAGTGACCCCCTGGGAGGTGACTTCAAAGAGAAAGTACCTGCATTCGTTTTTGGTTTCCCGATTTCCAAAGATACACTGGGCGTGTGTACTTCACAATAGTAAATCAAGAGCTGCACGTCTCGATCAAACCTGTGTCCGTCATCCAGCGAAACCTGAGGGAGCACAGGCCATGGAGGCACATTAATATTATCACTACTTGCTGCCTGAGGGGATGTCAGAGCACAGGATCACAGACCTCTCTCAGGAGTGAGCCTGGTTAACACAGGGGCTACAATAGAGTGGTGGTGCTGAACATAAAATATGGACTAAAAACAACACAGTGTGACTCCCTCTGGATGAATCAGGAAAACTACAGAACAAACAGGAAGGCCTTGGGAGAACCTTCTGGGGCATTGGCAATACTATGGCTCTTCTGATTCAATACCTGAGCAGTCGTCTGATCATTTCCAAGGTACTCAAGGGGAGTCAGCTGACAGTTGGACTCAACTTTCCGGACGCCGTGCTGAGAACTGATGGTGGTGGTCATGCTGAGTGTATACGGCAGGGTCTCCAAAGCAAATACAGGCATCTTCATTTGGAAGCATGAGTTTGCAGAACATCCTACAAAAAGTTACCTTAGTTCTCTTGCCCCAGCTTTAGCGGCGCATCATTAATATCTAGAGGGATTAGGGTACTCACGGGAGAGATGGTACCTAGGATTCAGGACAGCTGGGAGCACAAAGCGTAAGGCCCCATCTGAATCCAGAGGCAACTCCTGCACATACTTCAGGGTGAGTGCTGCCTTTGACCCAGGCTGGAGGTTGCCCACATTGCAACAGAAGACATCCCTGGAACTTATGTCCTCCTCCAGCAGGAAAGCCTGATGGCCTTGGGCGATGGCATCATTATAGGAGGTGTGGGCCTAAGGAAAACACGGTGAAGGGTGAGAAGAAAAGGTGACATCATTGCCGATGACTGAGGAAGCCGGAGTGTACAGAAAAGAAAGAGTAGGGGGATGAGATTAGGATTGGTTTTGCGAAACTCACAGCTAAATTCTGAAGGCTTCTGATGGACTTATCTTTTCCAATGATTTTAAGAAAAAAGGGGATAGAAGAAAGTGAAGCCAAGAGCTTTCTGCACAGAACTTTCTGTGGTCTCGTTGGACAGAAACCCCGAAGAGCACACGTTAAAGAAATAGGAACGAGGAAAATGCTCCCATCCTTAGTACCTTCATCTTGTCTTGTAACTCGGCCACAATTGTCTTCCCATCCACCAAGGCCTCGAAGCTATAGACAGCGGAGTCGTCGTCTATGGGGAACATAAAGAAGGCTTCCACAGGAGCGCTCTCCTCATTCTCATAGTTTAAAGTGGCAGACACCCCCGCCACAAACTCGTAGACAGACAAGGCGACAGAGATGCCCTTCAGTGGCACTGGGGAGAGAACAGAGTGCAACCCATTTTAGTGGAATGCTTGCCTCCATGCTTGCAGGCCATGTCATAAATATGCTCGGTGTCCAGAACACATGTCAGAGGACACAGAATCGGGCTTACCTGCCTCTTCCCGGCGTGTGAGTAGGCCATATCGGGGCACCATGTTCACATAGGGTTTCTGCGCAAAAACACATCGGGCACTCAGAGACCTTTGGGAAAATATCCATTTAAACACAGGTATCATCTCTGCTTCTCCCTGTCCTAACAATATAACCAATGCTATGATATTAGTGCATGGAGAGAAAAAAAATCCTGGGCCAAAGGGCCAAAGATTCTGATGGTAAATTTCCTTCTCAGCACTGGGAGTAAAGTTGTGAGATTTACTGCTACCACCAGTTGCCATCCAGTTGATTCTGTCTCATGGCAACTCTCCATGGGTTAAAGTGGAACTCCGCTATACTGGCTTTTCAAATGCTGATTCGGTAACTGATCATCAGACTTTTCTTCCAAGGGAACTCTGTGTAGACTAAAACCTCCAGCCTTTGGGGGGCTTGCTAAGAAGCTACACAATGAGAAATCGCTGATGCCTTCTGAGTCTGTGTTCAACATTGGTTCCACTTTTTCAAAGGTATATTTAGTACCTCACTCCTTTGGCATATTGAATAGGTACAGTTAACTACTCGGCCTCTATACTATCGACTACACCATGGGAAGATGATATTAGACAACTCTGAACAGATCACTCCCAAGTCGCCTCTCCCTGGTCTATCCCCTTAAGCACTGAGTTGCAATCACAAGCATTGCCAAGGGCTTTCCACTGCAAAGTACCTCAGGAGCTAAAGTGGGCAGAAAAGCTAAAAATTAAATGAAAATATTTTTTTTTTTGGTCCTGATGCCCAGAGGCAAATGACTTATTGAAAACCCTAATATTCACAAAAGTATTTATTGGCTAGAAAACACAAGGGCTACTGAGAAAGGCCGTTTTCCTGAGCAGTACAACCCCACCCTCAAGAATTCGGAAGCATCCGCCTGGACTACTACTGGGCTATTTGTGCTCGTCTCAATATACCACTTAAAACATGGCATTACCTCTATTCGGATCAATGTCTACATTGACAATCCATCTGATATTAACAGAATGCATATATGTATACATATATATGACAGTCCCACCCCCACCCTCCACCCCCACCCCCCAAAAAACAATGCCACTAAACCAAGCTTTTCATTCCATCTCAGTTTTTACTTTGGATTGGACAGGAACTGAGTGTGACAAAATGGTTCTTACATGGACAGAAATGCAGAGGGCTTTTCTTGGAACGAGAAGAGGACCCCCTGCAGACTCTTGGGCAACAGACCGGGGTGGGGCAGGGTGGATTTTCTAACTACAAGGAGGGAGTTTAAGACAGTGAAGAAACAGCTCATGCCAGGGAGCCAAAGCTCTCAGGATAAGGTGTACTTACCACAACTGATTGGCAGAATAACGAAGAGAAGCAGAGGGAAGGGTTGACTCTTAACAAAGAAAGCAAGAGTCTTGGTTCCTATTTCTAACTCTGGGCAAACCCTCAAAAGTTCTATTGTGCAATAGAACCACCCTCCCTGTCCCAGCATCTACAACATATACCGTAGGTTCAGAATTCCTTCTTCAGAAAAGCACTCCGCAACAGGCCTGTGAACCCGCAGCAGAACTGTACTAAATTCAGAGTCAGGAATTTACGCCAGCTAGAAGTTAAGAGGAGGGTTCTCACTGAACCCAACAGCTGCATGGTAGTAGGTGGACCCTCCGAGGCACTGCACTGCGCAGCTGCGGGGAGTGCGGTGGTGGGCAGGGGGGTGGGGGACAGGAGCAAACCCTGGCTGGAAGGCTTGTAGCTGCAATTTCCAAAGCGTAGGCATGGAACTGAGAAAACGTCAACGGCACATATCAAAGGAAGAAAACAATGATAGAAAACAGTTGGAGGGCTTTGAGTTTATTTGCATATGGCTAAATCTTGCTCCCCCTCCTCCCACCCCCACAAGACCCTCTCAACTGTCAATTCTACCAATTGAAACTCCTTGGGGGTTACCATTTTGGGACTCAATTTCCCAGCCCTTGGGCTTACAGTTAAAACATGTCCTAATGGATTGGAAGCCAGTGGGAAAACAAGTTGGAATAAGCAGGTCTTAGTTCTCAGTGACAGTGGGTAGGGTCCAGCCACAGCGCACTGGCCGGTTTCTTACCTTCCTCTCTAGCAGTGGAGCTCTCTTTGACAGACTGCAGTGAAAACAACTGCAGACAAAATGTCCAGGAAGAGGACACTCCCCTTACTGGGGACCGGTTATAAAGACACTAGTACTTGATCCAGAGCCAAGGGATCGACGTAAAATTCTTAAACAAAACAAAAATGCTGGAACATTCCTTGTTCTCTTGGTCAGTGGGCAATTCTTAAACCTTGTAATATTTGCTCTATTCTTTGCCTCTTCCCTGATAAGGGACAAACTGAGGATAGCCAAAAAGAAGGTGTTATTTTACCCCCCTCTTCTTCCAATTTAAAATGCAGCAGCAGTAACAGCAATGAAAATTCAAAACCATGTATTTCCACAATTGGTTTAATTAATAACTAAGGGCTACCTGTATGGCCAGCACTGTTTAAAAAAAGCAAGAAACCATTGATTTTCCAACTCTAATGTGAGTCATTTGTCCCAGCGTCATGTCATCATCCACACAATTGGATTTCTTTGCACCCACCCCAGATCATGGGAGTATCATGAAATAAAATGTATGAGTAACTGCAAATATCTCCGTTCACTGTAGTAGGGACTGTGCTTTCAATGTGATCTCTATTTCAAACGAACCCATAAAACCTGAGAGCTAGAGAAACAGTTGGGTCGTCATGGAGAGTCAGTAAGGTAAACAATGTATGATGCGGGATCAAAAGCTCAGACTTCATTTATCTCAGTGACAGTCCTTGTGACACATTTACTCTTTCTGATATTGTTCTCTTATCTATAAATGGATATCTTACATTTGGTTGTTGTTAGGATCCAAAGTGTGTGTGTGTGTGTGTATTTCTATGAGAAGCTTCTTTTTTGAGAAAAATAGAATTAAAAGAGAATGGAACCCTGATAAAAAAATTTTAAAGCCTCCTTATTGTTTGGGCCGGGTCTGGACTAGTCAGCCCCCATCTCCTCTCCAGCTCCTCAGGAAGCTAGAACTTCAAGGCCCCCATTTCCAGCCTCTCAGGAGGATAAATGACCTATTGAAGTCTGCATCTTCTGCCCCCACATTCCAAGGAGCTTATCTCTCCAGACCAAGGTCCTGCAGCCCCTGTCCCAGCACTCCAGGGAGTAGGTTGGCAAACAACAAAGGCACTTCCCACGGATTGCATCCTGACTCAAGGTCCTGCAGCTGCAAGCAAAAAATCTCCCTTCTTGTTGTCAACGTATCCCTCGAGCCTTATATATCTCCCACCGTCTCACCGACAAACTGCGACTTCCCTGACCTCACTTGTTGGGTCTCAGAACCACCCGGAACTCCAGATGCTCCTGTCCCTCCGCTCTCTCTTCCCTCCAGGGAGCTCCTTCCGGACCCTAATCAAGCCGCTTGTAACCTCACGTTCTTTGTCTCAGTCCTATTTGTTCAGTGTCTCAGCGTTGACCTCTCACTTATATGTGTGGATAGGAAATATTTTCTGATGATAATTCAAAAAAAATCATTTTAGTAGCTTCCAGAAATTTAAACCATATTCAGAAGGGGACATGGCACAAGGCTATAAATCCTAAATTCAGATGAAAGTAGAGAACACCAGAAAGATGTTTACTTATATTTTCTTTGGTATACAAAGGCTTTGACTGTGTGAATATGGACAACAGTGCAATGAGTAGGAATTGTAGAACACTTAATTGTGCTACTAAGGAACCCATATGAAGACCAAGATGCCGTTTTTGGAAGAGAACAAAGAAATGCAGCACGGTTTGAAATCAGAAAAGGTGTGAGTGAGGGTTATATCTTTTCACCATATTTATTCAATCTGTATGCTAAACAAATAATTCAAGAAGCTAGATATATGAAGAACAAGACATCAGTATTGGAGGACAGCCCATTAACAACCTGTGATAAACAGATGACACAATCTTGCTTATTGAGAACCAAAAGGACTTGAAACACTGGTGGAGTAAATAAAAATATAAAGAAAACAAAAATGCTCACTATCATTAGACCACCAAACAACATCATATTATGAATGGAGTGGCCAAGGATTTAGTTTTACTTGCATTCACACTACCATTCACTGAAGCAGCAGTCAAGAAAGCTTTGAGCAAATTTGTTGCAAAAGGCCCATTTAAAGTGTTAAAAAGCAAGAATACTACTTTGAGGAGTGAGGCGCATGTGACCCAAGCCATGGTATTTTCAATTGCCTCTTATGTAGATGGAAATTGGGCCATGAATGAGGAAGAGCAGATTCATTTGAATTATGGTGCTGGCAAAGAATATTGAGAGCACCATGAACTGTAAGAAGAAGAAATAAACCTGTCTCAGAAGAAGTACAGGCATAGTGTTCCTTAGAAGCAAGGAGGTGAGACTTCATCATATGTACTTGGACATGTTTTCAGTAGAGACCAGGCTCATCATAATTAGTAAAGTTGAAGTGCAGTGAAAGAGAAGACTTTTAATGAGACGGATTGACACAGTGGCTACAACAATGGGCTCAAACATAGGAACAATTGAGAGGACGGTACAGGACCAGGCGGCATGTCATTCTGCTGTACATAGGCTGGTTCTATGTTAAAACTGACTTGACAGGATGAAGAACAACAAAAACAATACAGGACATATTTCACAGCCTTCCATACCAAAAAGAAGATCCTGCTGCCATCTAATAGTTCCTAACTCATAGTGGCTCTATAAGACAGAGCATTCTTGCTACTTTGGGTTTCCAAACTTTTAAATCATTTAAAGGCTTCAGAGTGATGGGTTGGCTCAAATAATTGACCTTCTGAGTGGTAGCTGAATGCAAAACTGACTAGCGAGCATGGGTCCATATCTAGCTTCCCATGGAAGTTCCTTAATACCTAATTATGGTGAAAATATTTCTTACCTTTTGTCTTATCCTGTAACTCATGAGATTGAGTTCATCTCATATTTAAAACTAGGATAATAATGAATAAATTAGTATAATAGACTGCTAAAAGAACAAGCAAATCCGTCTTGGAAGAGGTACAGCCAGAATGCTCTTGGCATCAAGGATGGTGAGGCTTCATCTCACATGCTTTGGACATTGGCGTGAGAGACCAGTTCCCTGGAGAAGGGCATCGTATGTGGTACAGTAGAAGGCCCGTGGCAAATAAGAAAGCCCTGGACAAGATGGACTGACACAGCGGCTGGACAATTGGCTTAGAGAACAACTGTGAGAATGGTGCAGGACCAGACAGTGTTTTGCTCAGCTCTACATAGAGCGCTCTAGTTGGAGCCAACTCTCTGGCACCCAACAGCCACCACCACCTAAAGCTAGGGGTGACCCTACAACTGTGTCCTACTCAATGGAATACAAGAACCTGTTCGCGCACGATGATTAGACCTTTCAAAACAAAGGATGTGGTGTCTCTTTTGCGATTCCTATTTATGCTCACTAATGGGAATATGTGTATATTCCAAGTACTCTGTCTTGGATCATGAAGACTAGGACAATCATCCATAGACGTGGCTATATGACCAAACAGAAGAATCCTAAGTCCCTGATATATTCACAGAACAACTCCAAATTTTGCAGTAAAAAGTTAGGAACTTTATGTTTTGTAACAATTACTTAGACTGTGCTTTAGAACTGCAATCTTAATCAACTGACTTGGTTACAATCAAGGGAAAGCATATTTTGCGTAAAATGGAAATTGACATCTATGCATGTATGGCATGTATGGCATCTATGCATGTATGGCATGTATTGCATTGCAGCCCCATCAATGTGTCCTAAATTATTCTGGTGCTGGTAGATCATAGTTTGCAGCTTATTATGACCAAACTTTTCTGAGAGTCATTATCCCTATCTGAAATAACAGCTGTTTGAGCCCTGGTGGCAGTGGTTACATATTGGGTTGTGATCCCCAAGGTAGGCAGTTTGAAACCACCACCGGAGTCACCAGCAACTCAGCAGGAGAAAGAAGGGGTTTTCTACCCGAGGAAAGAGTTGGTCTTGGACACTCTCTCGGGCAGTTCTTGCCTGACCTAGAGGACCACTGTGAGTCAGCATCTCCTGACCTAGAGGACCACTGTCAGTCAGCATCAACTTGATGGCAGTGGGTTTGTATTTATTGTTTTTTTGCGTTACTATACAGAGGACACAGCACTGCTACAGTGTTCTGCTCGTTTTTCCCCCATTTGTTGTTATACTCTTTCTTTAATCATATTAAGAGTTTAATTTTAATTTCCTGTTTTATTCTCTTCTCATGTGTTTTCTTAGAAATTTATTTAAGACTTTCTGTTATTCTTATCATACTAAGTTTAAGCAATTTATTTTATGTTAAAACTTGTAATCCTTTAAGGAAATGATTCATTAGATGCATAAAATTATT